CCGCTCCAGGGATCACAGCGGATCGACTCGCTGCTGACCTGACCGGGACAGTGAGTGACGGTATGTGCCAGTGTACGAAACATAGAGGAACCCATCGGATAATTTGAATGACATTACAAATTGCATGGTTTTGGTTACAGTTCGTCTTTTGCACATGTCCTGTATATTCCTGTGTATTATATGTCCTCTGTGAGTACGAGTGTAATTAGAGTGGTCAGAATTGAATAGTGCAGCTTCAATTCAAATTGTCGAATAAACCAAGATATAATAGGACCATTGCGCCTTTTTGGTTCATTCATCTTGGGTCATCTGGTCATCTTGGTAATGGAACCCTGAAACTCCCTGGCACCGAGCAATTCCTTCTACGATGTCTTGGGCGCGGACCGGTGATCCCGTGACGTAGGACTGATCCTTGTAACATAGACTCGCCAAACCATGTAAAACAAAAGAAACGACGACGACGCCAACGACAACAATAAATACAGTATTTGGTACTATAGCTAATTGCACTACACAGCTATATACACTACCACTCTCGCCATCCCTTCCGAATGTCATGTACACGCAAACAAAACATTCCAATTGTGCTGCGTTCCGCGCAAAATCGCTGAGGCATTCGCCCGCAAAGAGACCATAGGATCATCCACCCACACATGTTCCACGTCCTTACAAGTAAAGCGGAAAAAACAGGTTCGCAGACTCTCAACAAAGTGATTTCAGTTTCGGAAACATTACACACAACTACAGTAAATGAATGAACATTTACATCTTCCAAACACACTTATGACACTTGCCTCTACCAGCTCAGGTCTATATTGGTTTAGTGGGGAGTTTCTGCACCTGGTACGGCCTCCGGCCTTCCCTTTCGGATCCATGAGCGAAGCAACGTGGCTGCCCCACGGGGCCGCCCCAAGGACCCCACCGGCTGAGGCTTTGGTCGCGGTGCCTCGAGCCGGTCACTTTCGAAAAACAGAAGCAAAATGAAGCAAAGATACGACTGGAACAGGTATCTTCCAAATTGAAAATCCTCATGTTCTTGGTAGTTTCAAGAAACAGCCGCCGCGTCGCCCAAATAGTGTCACGTGATATCACGAGTTCCAATACACTTTAGAAGGGGATACACATAAGCATGCAACTGACTATTGGGAAGGGGATAGACATAGCATGCCGACAGCATCCGACATCTATCCCATGCTATCCCAAAAGCCCGCAGCCTGCAAATGCAACATGTTCGCTTCGGTTTTGACTGGACGACTCCCGGCAAAACAACTTTGGACACAGCAAGCATCTACAAATAGGCACACGACTAGGCACACGGCAAACGACTCATTTCGGAACACATGATTAGATCGATAAGTGTCCGGTTAGACTCATTTCGCAACACACGGTTGCAGGTTCAATTTGGAACACAAACGCCAAAAGACTGCTTTGCTCAAGTCAACTCATGTCTTATTTCGTCCGATCACATGGAGCGATATGGAGCGATCATAAGCGCCAGTCAGGCGCTGCAGGGCTTCCGCAAAAGACCCGCATCAGCCAAGCGGGCATCCTTCCTCCTCTAAATTTTACCCTCGCGCGGGTCACAAAAGGTGGGCTACGTTGGCATGGCTCCTTTTTCCTCTAAATTTTACCATCGGGTGGCTCACAATGGCTCCTTTCTCCTCTAAATTTTACCCTCAAGTGGCTCACAAAAGGCATGCTACCTTGGAACGCTTCCCTTTGTCGTCTCAATTCAAGTCTGCTACATTGGCATGCTCCTTCCTGCTCCAAATTTGACCCTCGGGTGGCTCACAGAAGGTATGCCAGCTCTCAATTTAGGTCCTGCCACATTGGCATGGCTTCTTTCTGCTCTAAATTTCACCCTCGCGTCGCTCACAAAAGGGACACATTTTACCCTCGGGTGGCTCGCAAAAGGCAGGAGTGGCCTTCTGATCTACATTGAACCATCGGGTGGCTACGTTAGATTTCTTCTCAGAAGTCTACCCTCGACTACCTCACAGCTACGTTGGAATGGTGTTACATTGGAACGTCTTTTTCTTCTCTAAATTTCACCCTGGGTGGCTCACAAAAGGTCTGCAGTGAGAGATCACATGAAAAAAACGCCCGTTCCGCTCAAAATTTAAGGCTCGGGTGGGTCAAAAGGTATGTGTGCTGAATTTGAATAGTGGTACCTTGGAATGGCTCCTTTCTCTAAATTTTACCCTCGGGTGGCTCACAAAAGGCATGCACAAAAGGTCTGCTACGTTGGAACGGCTATCTTCTCTAAATTCTACACTCGGGTGGCCCACACAAGGTATGCTACGTTGGAATGGCTCCTTTCTTCTCAATGTTTTTCCCTCGGGTGGCTCACACAGGGTTTGCTACATTGCAATGAGAGATCACATGGAAGAACAACACCGGGGATTCATCACGTCGACGATAAAAACCGACAAAGAAGCAGGAAGAGTTCACATGATTCACATGGATTAATAAAGATTAAAGAACGCCAACAAAAAACAAATACTCGTCAGGTCAGCAAAAAAAAAAGGGAGGGATCACACGGAAGAAAAAGTAAAACAACGCGACGCATCACCTCAACAATAACCCCCCCCAACAAAAAAGAAAGAGATCCTCACACGGAAGAAAAATAGAAACAAACACCAAGAAAAAATCCAGTGACACATGACCTCAACAATTAAAGAAACACAGAGTGAGAGGTCACACGGAAGAAAACAACCACAAAGAAAAACAGCCAGCGACACATGACCTCAACAATGAACAAACACTGAAAAAAAGACAACACGTGAGAGATCACATTGAGGACAACACACACACAACAAAAAAACAAACAGTAGACAGTAGACAAGAACAAACGAAACCAACGATAGAAATCACAAAGAACACAAACCAAATGCGTTCCAAAACGATACCCCTTCTCACTCCAATGGGCTGGGGACATTAAATCATGTTGTTGGTTTAATGCGGCGCATTAAACTGCGCAACTTTGGTGGCGCTTGCATTGAAAGGATACTATACCAAAATGAACTGGTCGATGGGTATAGATTGGTTACAGTAGATCAGATCAAATTGCTTCAACAAAGGCCCCATCCCACACGAAAGTTTGCACTAACAAACTCGTGGCAATCATGCCAATAGAGGAAAAACACACACACTGCGTTTTGGTGAATCATGCAGTTTAACATCAATTTGTGTTGATCAAAGGTACTGGCATCCAGGGTACTGCCAGCGACTCCTATTCTCGATCCAAGTTCGATTATTTTGGGGAGAGAAGGGGTGCAGTTTTTTTGGCAAAATGATGATAGGATTACACTACTTACTACCCAGCCTCCCTCGCCCTCCACCAACTCCGAATCCTTTTGGCTTTGCCAGCGCCAAGCACACTCAAACCCCGTGCCTCTGGGCGCAGCCGCGGTGACAACGCCTCCGTACCAATGATGCCCCAGCGCATGGTGACAGGCACCTCGGTAGCCGGAATCACATATCAAGTCTCTGCCTGCTACAGCTTCCGAGCAAACACAAACCGCAGCAAAACGAAGCCAAGTGAAAAACTCTGTTGATTGTTCAAAACACATGTCAAATGCGGCACATCACTCCATACAATACTCTACTCTACTATATATCATTGCATATTGATTATATTGATTGAATCACGCATGTTGCCTGCAAATCAGCAAGTCCACATGCATGCAAATTGAGACAGAACAGGTTAGAACTACAACCCCTTGACTTGGAGCCCTGCTTCCGGACTGGGAGATCTGGAACGGGAGTCCTGTATGGATAAACGTGTTCTGCCGGATGACGGGACATGAATAGAGCAGGCACCAACAAAAACAAATATGCCACAAGTCAAGTCGAAATCTCACCTCACGGATTCTATTCCAAAATAAACTCCGAGTCCAACTGCCAAAGGGTAACCTCCACTGGCCACTGTTACTTGATCTTATTGTAGATCTGTCTTGCTGACAAAAAGATTGGAATCGACGGTACGTGTCTAGTGAGTCTCGCACTGCCCTTGCACATCACTTTGAAGGCATCTGGACTCGCACCATCTTTTAGGTCTGTTTCTGGAATGAACACGACAGCTCCTCCAGGGGCCGACTCAATCTGTACATCGGCCTGGGCTGGAAACAACCGTTTTGTTGGATGGACGAATCAAGCTCATGTCCTTTTCCGAATCCTGCACACGGAGTACCGTAGGGCGGCGCCAAAAACCATGATCAAGACACGGCTGATCTCAAAACAGTTTAGTAACGTATGCACGTCGACAAGTTGTGTGACTCCAGGTTTCTGCAGTCTGCAACCTTTTCTTGGACTCTGTCCATCTCCAATTGTGCTGTGAAGTTCCACAAACAGCGTCAGCATGGTCTTTTTGATTCTTTTCGCACCTTGCGATCGCACACATAATAAGTTTGATCATTAGCAGCTTCATTGGCACTGTGGCCCAAGGGATGCGCTTGTTTGGCCCATCCCCTTGAGACCATTCAACGTTGTCTGAAAACTCAAAACACTGGATGCACAAAAGGCCCAACCTCACTTGCTGCAACTAAAGAAACAAATGAGTCTAAGTCAACACAGTTGAAATGGTGCATCAAGGAATACATTGTGTATCTGTCATGACTAAAAAGCAAACTTGGTTGCTTTCGTTGTGGTAGCGTCCGACTACATCCAACCTACATTCGTGAATTGTTACCCTCTCCCTCAAAAGTCTGCAACCGTTCCTGCAATGAACCAATTCTGTGCAGTAGACGCAATGGGAATATTGTCTCTCAAAACAAGCCGAGCACAGTTGAATGATGCTGAATGTCCATCCCTAACAGGTCCACTACCACGTGTCTCTCAGGGAAAACAAACAAATAAAGGCGGCACTTTGCAAAAGTGCTACAGTACTGTTTGTGTACACGAAACGTGCAAACAACCACAGCTTTCACGCTTTGGTTTCCTTCCTCGAACGAAGCCCTGACTTGAGTACCCTGACCCGTGGATTGTACCTCTTCAAGGCTGCCAGGCTATGTGATCCAGCATAACTGAGCCCGAGTCGATATGTACAAAATGGATCAAGCTAGGTCCGAGCACAGGAAAATGCTTTTGTTCGTGACCAATCTTCGGATCTTATTGGCCTTTGTTTGATCTCAAGTGTTTTGTGCTGTTGACCCACGGCTACCTCAAGCGGAAGACTCTCAGAAACGGAGAGTTGCTTCCGGAACAACTGGCAAACGTTTGCTGTCCTCAATGAAGACACACTGCTCCATGCGGGCCGGCTTCGTGGCTGGAACCAAAATCTACTGTCTACCTAGAAACAACCTGTTCAAAAGGCAGAGCTAGAAACGACGATTTGACAGCTTTGTTTCATGACTACACAGTGTTTCGTTTTTGTGCAGTGCACCCGGCACCCAAAAAGCCTCAAAACTCAAAGAAATTACGGTAGCCCTCAAAAAGCACAACTGGAAGAGCATTAATTACATGTCCAGCAGTGGCTGGTGGCGTGGCACAATGGTTTTGTATGATTTTTCTGATGTCGGTCTGACCTTGCTCTACAGCACACAGAGTTCAGAGTTGGAAAGACTATCTGTATTTAGCCTACAACGAAGTAAAGTAAGTATAGCTGTGAGATTTGGTGTGGCCAAGCATGCCCTTGCAACAAGGCCCGCCGCTTCACCAACGCACACTTGGAATGCCTTTCTGCAATGTTGTCCCCGATAACACAACGTGCATGTAAACAATACAATGTGCATTGGCATCACTTGGCTGGTACCATGGCTTAAACATCTGCGCTTTTCGTGAACACAGTGTTCCTTGAAAACAATATGCCACGGCAACATATCGTGACGGGGTCTTGTTCTCTAGGGAATTTGATCGGATTACTGGAATCGAGTTCCAGCTGCCTATACATGACTGAAACATACGACAGTACCGCCTTGCTTTGTGACGTGGACATTCAGTTAGAGTAAATGCAGCACCAATCTATCTGTCTGTATCTATCTCAGATCTCCGTACATGTCATCTCTTACAGCCAGCTTTGTTCAAGTCTGTCTGTGTCTAAGTCTTCACCCAAAGTGAACCTCCCATTTGCTATGACCTCATGTGACCTCAACTTCATCCTTCCTTCAAGCATCAAGAAGGTGAGCTCTTGCGCAACCAAAGGTACTTCCTTGGCTAAAGGTCACGCAAACATCTAGTGCCGGCTCGATACGTTGATCGTCCACGGGAATAGAATGTATGTCAAAGAACAAATCCAAGAGGATCCAAGAGGTATTGTAGTGCATCTTGACAGAATAATTAATCAGAATATGTGACCCTCGGTTCGGGCCAGGCTTCGGACAGCGTTATACCAGCTTCCACACTTGCCCATGATGTACTGGTTGGCACATTTGAGCTTGGCTGCAAAGAGTGGGGCCTCGAATGGTGACAATATACTCAATGACTCCATGCGCCCAACGAAACACACCTTGGCATGATGTCCTCCAAATGATGGCAGCAGCCCTGCCATTGCATCTACATGTCGCAAAAAGAGTGTGGCTGCTTCACTTTATGGCACCGCAAATATGTCAAGTCGGTAGAATCACACTCACGCTGAACAAGCCGATCTCAGGGCGCCTGGTGCATGCTTTCGCCATGGCAGGAACCCACCACGCACAGGCGCAGATCTGAAGACCGACTGGAAAGCGCAGCTAGTTGCTCTTGGAGCCAAGGTGTCCTAGGATTGGTGCTGGAGGCACTGAGGAAGTACTCACATCGACCGTAACTTGGGAAACCAACTAGCAGCAACCACACAAGAAAGAAGCAGTTGATGAATTGGCAGTGAAACTCGGGAAGTTTGGTAAGTAGTATTACCTGGCGAGACGCTAGCTGTTCGTGGCTCAAAACAAACATTATGTTGCCAAGTGGCGTGTCAGCTTTGACGCGGAATCCATTTTCGCAAACCTGGTGCCAAGCCTGGTTTTGGGTGGGCGCCCAACGCGTAAAACTATGCCACTGCATACAAAAGGGTGATTAAACCATAGATTGAAAATCCCCGCCTGTTTCAAGCTGGCGTTCTTGCTTTTTCCAGTCGCTGTCAACGGAGTCATAATATGCGCTGCCCTTCCCCTTCGAAACGCCAAGGTGCAACGCCAGGTTCCCTGCCAGGTTTGAGGCGTTCTGCTATACTATTTTGTCAGGTGGGGTGGTTCAGACAGTTTGACAAACAATTTCCATGTCCGAATTCATCGATGCTCTTCCCGGCAAATGTCAACAATGTCCTCAAGGACACATGCAATCACACCGAGTTCCTTCTCAATATAACATAATGCAACCCATCCGGGAGTCAACCCACAAAGGGCACATCTATCAGAATCTATATAATCTTCGCATTATATACGAATATGTATATACTATACATATATTTCAGCTTGCCCGCGCCTGAGCTTGAGTCAATTTCATGTCGATTCGCCCATCCTTGGCCAGGCTCTGCAGCAACCGCAAGGGTGTCCTCTTGGTTTGCCTTGATTGCAAACCACAACGTTGCGCATCCCTGCGCTTGGCATGGTTTCACAGGCTTCAAGCAAAAGCATGTCTAAATTGCATTATTAACTCTTTCTTGGAACCAACCATTTGGCTTCTTTCAACGCTTTGACTCATATGATCAAGCAATCAGTCCTAAACATCTCAGTCTCATTTAAGATGTAGCACTTTGAACACACAATGCTTTACTTCTGGCAACATCTGCAAATTCTCCATCGCGGAATCCTCAAGATATTACCTGCATCGAAACCATTATATGAAATCGAGTCCAAAACACAATCCCAAAACTGGTTTCAAGTTGAGGTGGCTTTCTTCACAAGTACTCTGGTTCCAGTTGAAACGCGATCAATTTATGTTTCTGCAAATCCAGTTAGATTCTCGAAATCCTTGATTCCGGAACAAAGCAGCAAAAGGATCCCTGCCCATGAGCAAACCACCACACGAACCCAACAAACCCATGCAAGAAAAGGCAGTGGTTTCCAGCCAAGGCACTTCAAAACCCTTGGTCCGCGAACGCTCGAAGGTTTGGAAATCATTTTCTTCTCGCTGAGGTCAGACAAAGGATAGGGAACGTCTTTGTTCCCGGGGAAATCGGACAGAACCCCCTTCAGGTAGTCGACTGCATTGGCCCTGGCCTTGAGCAAAGATCACGAGCTTCAAAATGTTCGAATGTTAGGCTGTTAAACAAAACGGAACAATGTTGCTCTTCACATTTCTTAAACATGGGACGAATGCCCGTGTGAACCTGCGTTGTTGCATTGTTTGAAGTTTCTCAAGACTTGTCCTTATTGTTGAGTGTAGTATTTCTATGTATATATATATTTATTTTATAATAATATACATATATCTGTCAACCAATAACATGTGCAATGAACACGTCGTTCACTGCAACCCACACGACTCATGAAATTCCGAGGTGCGCAAGTTCAACTGTTGGAAAAAACAAACGTGTGAGGTGTATATATGTTTTGGCAAAACGACAAACAAAAACATAAACAACCCAAAAAAACAAATCATACATGTCATACATGACCTGCATCTTCCAAGGTTGTCCCTTTTCAGTTCCTGCCACAAAAGTAGCTGTTTCACCAGAGAATGTTTTTTGTTATTGAGACGATTTGGTGTTGTTCATTGGCAGACACAAGGGGCAAATTGCTTTTGGCACCAACCCGACGCTGCAACAAGGTCGGTCTATGCTGCCTATGCTGACGGGCGTTGGCATGATCGCAATCTTTCAACCCCACCAAGTTTCAGTGTGTCCAGGTTTTTGACGAGTGCGGGGTCACTGGTGTCACTGCCAAAAAGTCAGGCCATGTGATTGCAGTTTCAGCTAACATCATGCATGATCCCTCTTGACAAACACCTAACGAGTATCACGCATGACAAACCATACTTACGACGATCACAAAAAAACGCAAAATCCAAGAGCGGAAAATTCGACGTTCGCGGGGTGGAATTTATTGGACACCAGTTTTCCAACGTGATGCAAACCAAAAACCAATGCTATCATGACATGATCAGTTCGAGGGGTTGAAGTAATATATACTATATGAGGCATGGTGAAGCCACTGCAGCACTTGCAACAGTTTCTTAATTATTAACAATGAGTTCCTCAAAAGTGCGTTATCAAATATTTCAAGACACAACACTCCCAATCTCAGCTTTGGGTTCAAAAACACTGGGTTGGCTATGTCTCCATAATTAGTCCTGCTACAGAACGGCGAGAAGGCGGGCAAGACACAAATGTGTGGAAAGTGCGAGAACTGAGGTACCAAAATAGTGCATGGAGGGCGCACGCAAAAAGCACGAGCCAAGGCACCAAAAGTGCATGGAGGGCGCGTGCAAAAAGGACGGTTGACATGAGGTAGACGCTTATGCGGCATCGAGCTAAGGCAATGCAAGTTGCTTATGGGACCCCTTTCTTTGTGACATTGAGCCCAGCGGAGAAGCACCAGGTGGTGCAAGAGAAACGCGGCTTTGATCAAGGATCCTGCCCTGCAGAAAGCGGCAGGCCGCTTGCAAACCGATGTGGAGCAACGCAGTATGTGGAGGACAGGTGCTGGCGCTGAAGCCAGCAGCGGTCGCACCAGGTTTTAAGGTGCATGTATTATTGCTGCTGAGGGCTTATTTGGAATGTGGGCGTGCTTGTTCTGCCCAGCATGCCCAGCACAGAAGGACGGGGAGGAGTTTCACAGGGATTTGGCAGGCAATGCAGCCGAGCCTGGTGGAGGCGTCTTCGGTCTTCGGACGACGTGCAGCGGCTTTATTCAGCATTGAGAGCCAAAAGGCTGGCGCTCTGCACGTTCATGGTCATATAGCGGTCGAAGGGCTGCAGCAAATTGCTACGCTGCAAGAGATTGGGAGGAAGGTTGACACAACTGGCAAGTAATGGTGGATGCATTCCTACGCTTCAAGCAGCATGCTTGCGCAAAGCATGCAGCGCCTGAAAGGTGGGCGCGAGTGGAGGCGTGGCCGGACTACAGCGAGAGGGGATATGTTTAACATTTTGCTGCTGCCACAGAGTTTTTGGGCGATTCAATAGTGGAAGAACTGCTGCTGGAAGGTGGGCGGAGAAATACGAGTTGGATGCGCAGGAGGTGCAAGCAGCACGGCAGCATCACATTCAGCATAAAGACGAAACGGGGAGAGGCAGCCATTAGCAGGTTGCAGGAAAAGCGAGAACAAAAGCCGTTCCCGGTTCTGACTGGAGGCGCCAGATCACGAAGAAGGGAGTGGTGGTGTGTCCAGGGGTTGCAAAGAAGTTCAAGCTAGCAATTTCATGCAGAAATAGGCAGAAAGAATGCTTTGGGGTCTCTCTTTGGGCCAAGTTTGCCCGTGGCTAAATGGGACGCATACGGCGCTCTTGGCAGGCAGGCGGCCGGCGCAATTCAGATGCGCAGGTCGGATTCAGGGTTCCAATGCGTCAGGAGAACCATGGGGGCAATGCCAGCAAAGTTGCGTGGAGGAGGCTCGTGTGGCAGAGCTGGAAACTTTTGTGCAAGCTGCGCAGGCAGCTCAAATAGGATATTCAACAAAACAGGCAAGCGAGCGGCGGCTTGTATATATAAGCGCCGTGAATTTGCTCATGGACATGCGACATGCAGCAATGTCGGCGAAGAACAGATCAGCAGCACAGGTGAGTAGGAGACATGCTCAACGCATTGTCGCAGATTGTTTTGTACACGGCATTGTTTGGGGTCCAGTGGAGACGGAAAATCTGAACATGAACGCGATGGCCTCGAAGCAGGTCAAGCTGCAGGGGAGTGCATTCAACAATTTTGTACTGCGGTTTTGCCTGCGGCAGCATTCCTGCAAAATACTGGAAGCATTATCTGAGCCCTTGTATGAATTTGCGCGGTACTGGAAGGTGAAGCGCAGGCGGAGGGTGTTACAATTTCCGGAACCCGTTGCTTTCCCAGGTGTGAGCAGGAGGCTCGGCTGCAAGCAGTGGTAGGGGTGTGGCCTGCCTGGCAGGGTGGTGGAATCCTTGGGGCGTATGCCTTGGGGTGTTGTGAAATAGAATCGGAGGGAGGTATAGGAAGCCTTGGGGCGTATGCCTTGAAAGCATTGAAGGCAGCAGGGGTTGGGCGTATATTTTTGATAGATAGCAGGGGTGGGAAGGCATGGCGCGCCCATTCGTGGCATATGCACGTGACTTGCAGCCATTTGGTGGAGAAGGAAAGAAATCATAACAGAAAGGCTTGGAAACTTATCTGGAGAAGGGTTGTTTGAGCCAGGAAATCCGGCAGATCATGCAGAATTTCATGGCGCGGTACCCGACTGCAAGTGGTGAAGGTGACAGTGAGCAGGGAGAAGATGACGTGGAGCTGCAGGCGGGTCTGGTTGAACCTATGTATATAGAGTGGAGCCACATTTGTTGAGTAAGATGGGGGCAGAGGTGAGGGCGGAGCGCGTAGTTTTTTTGCTCGGGAGAGCGTCTGAGCGAAGGGTTCTTCTTTAAACAACAGCAAAGACATGAGCACTACATTGTCACTACATATAATCATCACCATCACCATCATCATCATCAGCAGCAGCATCATCATCATCATCAGCAGCAGCATCATCACCATCAGCAGCAGCAGCAGCAGCATCATCATCATCTGCGTATCTTCACGTCTGCGCATCTTGACACCTGCACATATCCAAACATGCGCATCTTCACATCTGCATCTCTCTCTCTCTCTCTCTCTTCACATCTGAACATCTTCATATATATATATACTGTATTGTAATAATACATATATTTACCTCTCTCTCTCTCTCTTTTCTTCTCTCTCTCTCTCTCATTCTCTGTCTTCGTGTGCCCAGACTGAGGTAGAGCGTGTGCCCCCCAAACCCAGCTGGAGCTTCATATCGTGTTCGGGCCGGGGTGTGCCCAGACTGAGCTGGAGCTCCCTAGGAGTAGGAGTATACGAGTAGGCAGAACTGTTGAGAGTATCTCGTTCAGCGTGTTCTTCCGGCTGATGTTGACACCGGAGGTTGTTCCAGTGGTTCAAAGGCAAATTCGTACTCAAACTTGCGCTCTTCTGCACGACCTGGCCCAACCGGCACTGGTCAAAGTCGATTAGAGTATGTAGGACTACACTGGGCCCACGCCCGGTAGACTGCATTTGACGAAGTACCAAGGGAAGGAGGACCAGGAAGGAGCAACACCTGTTACACAATCTATCTATATAGATATATGTATCTCTATATATATATATTTATACATATTATATATTGTCTATGTATGTATATATTATCTGTATATACATAGAGAGAGAGAGAGAGAGACGTCCCGTGGAGCTACTGTAATTCTGACGGGCCGGTCCGGGACATGAAAAAGACCAGCCCTTAGCCAGCCTCATCATCGCAAATGTCGGTAGCTTTCCACTCCTGAAAGTCATCAGTTTGCCAAACCCCAGTACTGGCAATGGGCCACACAAATGTCGATGTTTGGAAATCTGAGAAGAACTAGAACGTAGGATGACAAGACCTGCAGTGGAAAAATGTCTAAGAAGACTATAGCGAGAGAACACACATATATGAACACATGGGCAAGGCATAGAACTTGCAGGTTTCCTATTAGTGACAACGCAACGAAAAGAATGTGGGAGCCTGGGAGTCCAAGTAGTTTGTCTATTCTTAAGTAAGAGTGAACCACTGGCATGCATTTGACCAAAGCATACCAAAGCAGCACATGTCTAAGTGCGGATAGAAAAGTGGAGTTTCGAAGTAAACGTTGGGATCTTGCCATTTTTTTAGCAAAAATTGCGGGATAACATTCAGAAACACAATTCCAACAACTATATATATATATATGTTGACTGAACACATTTTTGTCCATCAGTTTGAGATGCTACCTCTCGTGATTTTGCAAGGCTTTCGTGCAGGAGGTGTTCTTTTCCGGTTTCTGGGTTCCCTGCCCTTTTGTGGAATAAGTACCCTGTATATAAGGCCAGTATTGCAGTGGGTCGAACCCCGGAGCTCCGAACCCGAGTATATACTTTTTTTGTCGGTGTCCGGTGGCCGGTCCGGTAGCCGGTGGCCGGTGGCCGGTGGCCAGTGGCCCGTGGCCGGTAGCCGGTCCGGTAGCCGGTGGCCGGTGGCCGGTGGCCGGTGGCCGGTGCCCGGTCCGGTGGCCGGTGGCCGGGCCGGTGGCCGGTGCCCGGTGCGGTATAGCCGGCGCCGGTGTCGGTGGCCCGTTTAACCCCCCTCTAGCGTAGGTCCATTTCCATGCTCGGACTCAGACCTCCTGGAATTTCTAACTTGACTGAACATCAGCTGCAACACAGCCACATCCACCTGACGCCTGCAAGATTGACACGTCTACTTGATGCTAAAATATCGATGTCAAAACACCATGAGACGCCTTGCTGCTGCCTAGCCCTTTTTTTCGGACTGACCCAGGTCCATGGCTGGTGCTCTAAGCCGCAGCTTGCAAGCTGTAGCCTGGTGTCTGCTTCGGAAGCCAGAAACAACCAGAACATCGCCCCAAAAGAGGTAACCAAGGAATCCCGCTTGAAAGATATTGAAAGGTATTGGACACCGCTTTGTACATGATGGTCTCATTGCATACTTGTGTACATGTATTTATACAAATTGATTGCACGAGCTGGCTCTTCAAACTCGCCTGTTTGGAGGCCAAGTGGCCTCAAACTGTGATCGGCAATGCAGGGGTAAAAGGTTGAGAAGGAAGTTGCCCTTCCATGTGGACTCACCCCTTTGTCGGCAATACAGGGGTACAATTTAGAGAAGGAAGTGGTCGTTCCAAGTTGAGTCACCCTTGGTGAGCCACTTGAGGGTAAACTTGAGAGAAGGAAGTGGTCGCTCCAACTTGACTCACCCTTTTGTGGGCAATGCAGGGGTGAAATTTAGAGAAGGAAGTGGCCACGCCAAGTTGACTCACCCCTTTGTCGGCAATGCAGGGGTAAAATTTAGAGAAGAACGTTGCCACTTCAACTTGGCTCATCCCTTTGTGTGGGCAATGCAGGGGTAAATTTTAGAGAAGGATGTTGCCATTTCAACTTGCCTCATCCCTTTGTGTGGGCAACGCAGGGGTAGGATTTAGAGAAGGAAGTGGTCTTTCGAACTTGACTCACCCTTTTGTGGGCAATGCAGGGGTAAATTTTTGAGAAGGAAGTTGCCCTTCTAAGTGGACTCACCCCTTTGTCGGCAAAGCAGGGGTACAATTTAGAGAAGGACGTTGCCATTTCAACTTCACTCATGCCTTTGTGTGGGCAATGCAGGGTAAAATTTAGAGAAGGAAGTGGTCATTCCAACTTGACTCACCCTTTTCTGGGCAATGCAGGGGTAAAATTTAGAGAAGGATGTTGCCATTTCAACTTGACTCACCCGTTTGTGGGGCATGCAGGGAGAAAATTTAAAGAAGGATGTTGCCATTTCAAGTTGACTCATCCCTTTTATGGGCAATGCATGGGCAACATTTTGAAAAGGAAGTGGCCATTTCAAC